GAGCCCGGAGCTGCCCTCAGGGAGGAGGGGCTGGCTGCACAGGGAACCCAGTGCTGGGCGCTAGAACGCTGGGCAGTGCCAGGAAATGGGGGGGAGTGGAGGGGCTGGAGGGGAACGGCGGCCTTGTTGGGCCATGTGGGTGCAGGAAGGGGCGTGTGCAGGGACACAGCAGGGGCCTCTCTGGGCAGGATGCTCCTAGCAGAGATTCCGTTCACCCGTCCGTCTGTCCTTCCATGGGCACCATGCTGGATCTGTGCATTCACAGCGCTGCCCACCCAGAGGGCGCGCTCACCTCACCAGCACTTTCACCCCACTCCGTCCCCCCAGGAAGAGGGCTCAGCTGTGCCCGGACATCTGTTCCTGCAGGGATGGCCCTGCCCAGACCCCGTCCTGCCGCCATCCCCATGCTCCCGGGAGCCTCCCCGCCCACTGCCTCCCAGGCCCAGCCCACACCGCAGGCTGCTGGGGCTTTGCCCACGCTGTCCTTGCCGTGCCGTCCATCCGTCCCTCTCCGAAGCCAGGCCCGCATGTCCAGAGTGCCTGCCCCGGGGCCCTGCCATGACCTGGTAGCTGAGCAGGGGCGAGGAGGGGGGTCCTACCTGCAGCAGGCCTGGCCTCAGATCTCGGCCCCATCCCTTACCAACGGGGTCACGGTGGGCGAGCCGTTTTGTCTCCTTGAGACTCAGTTTCTACATCTGTAAAATGGGGTTGCCGCAGTGCCGAAATGAGGTGATGTGGGTCGAGTCCAGGTCGTGGAGCGGGGAGCGGGGAAATGTTCAGCAAGTAGGCGCCATCCTTACCCCTCCAGGAAGCTTGTGGGAGCAGGCCCCTCCCTGGCCTGCACTGTGCCCTGTGGGGTAACACCTGCCTTCAGGGGCCCAGGGTGAGGGGCCGACACTGGGTGGGGGGAGGCTTCTTGGTTCCCCAGCTGGAGGTCACCTGGAGGCGGGCAGCAGAGGCCCTCTGGGTCCAAGCACAACACGTGCAAAGGGGCTGAGGCAGGGGTCCCCGGGCTGGACTGACAGGGCGGGTGGCGATCTCCTCCCTTGAGACACTTGCTTCCCGCTGCCGGGGGGGTGTGACTGCTCATTTTCTGAGGCAGAAAGGTCTTAATCCCACTCCCCAGGCAGCCGGGGCCTCGTGCCCCTGCTGGTGGCCCCGGGCGCCAGTGATGCTCATTTGCAGGGAGCTGATGCGGCTCGCGGGAGGGCGTGACGTGGGGCAGACACGGGAAGGACTGGCAAGCTGTCAGCGAGGCCAGAAGGACCGCGGCGGCCCATTCTCCCCTCTGGGCCTCAGTACCGAGGCACCAGGAAGCAGGGGATGGTGGGATGACCCGGCGGGCACCCGAACCGCCGGGCCCTTGGGAGTCAGGAGGCCTGCGAGATGCCTGGAAGGTGGGGTGTGGTCAGGGCTGTGACGGGCGGTGGTGACGGGGCGGCTGCCCCCGTGTGTCCTGTCATGGCTGGCGGGGATGGTGGGACCGCCCGAGAGACAGGGTCCGTCTACGCAGCGCCCCGGACGCGGCAGGCGCCGAGGGGCCGAGGTGGCCGCGGTCGGGACCCTCGCAGCGGCGGTGACACGGGGACCGAGAGAGGAGGCCAGCGGTGGTGATGCCGGCGGCGGCGGTGACCGTGGCAGTGGGCGCGTGGCCGACGGTGTGGATGTGGCGGTGAGGACGCGGCTGGCGGCGCAGCTGATCACGTGTCGCGTCGTTCTCGTGGGGGATGCCGGTGGGGCGGGGACGTTGGCGATGACGGCGGCGACGGGGGCTCTGTGGGGCGTCGATGGCACTGTCGGGGGCGAGGTTGTCCGGACCTCGGCGGCTCCAGGGGCGGCTGCGAGGGGTGGCCCAGTGTGGGACTGTTGGAGTCGGGGGACCCCCAGCACAGAGCCTGGCAGAGGCTGGCCGAGGAGTGAGCACGCCCGTGGACGGTGCTCGGGTGTCAAGGCAGTGAGCCCTCGGGTGACAGCACGGACGGAGCTTGGCCAGGGGCGTACCGGGGGAAGTTCTAAGTGAGGTGACAGGCTCGAGTAGGGTCCCCAGGGTGCAGGCCTCTGAGCTGGGAGGGGTTGGCAGGTGGAGCGGGGTCAGCCAGACCCTGGACCTCCCAGGCAGGATCACTTGCTTGCAGGGCTGGGGGGCCCAGGGTCCCGCCCTCTCCCGGGGGCCCCCGGTCTGCCCAGGTGAGCGGAGGGGGTGAGGACAAGAGCCCGGACCATGGGGAGGGCCGGGTTTGCAGGCGGGCACAGGCCTGCGGCTGGAAGCACTGACTCAGAGTGTGGCTGGCGCCAGGTGGGAGCGAGGAGGCCTTGTGAGCAGCGCGAGCAGCCACGGAGCCTCCAGTCACGGAATCACGGGGCTCAGACACTGTCAGCATCAGGCGAGCCACCCCCACGGGCAGGGACACAGGCCTGAGGAGGCGCAGGTCTCATCCGGCAGCTCCCTTAGCAAGACCCAGGTCAGGCAGGTGTCCCTCCCCGAGGCCCACGCGTCGCGGACATGAGGGTCCGCTCGGGGCCACGGGTGTTGCCCCCAGGACCTGAACCAAGATAGGCTGGAGCTGACGTGGGCCAAGCCATGGGGAAGCAGACACAACCTGCCCTGTGGGTTCTCACAAGCTGGAGGCCAGCTGGGGTCTGGGCACAGAGGAGAGCTCAGGGAGGCTTCCCTGAAGGACCAGGTGAGTCAGCCAGGGGACAGCAGGGCATGTGGTCAGAGGCACCGGCCAAGATCAAGGCCTGGAAACAGGAGACGGCGCCTGTGTTCTGGGTCACCAGTGGTTCCGTCTGGGCTGGCGTGTGCCGGCGGGTCCAGCGGGGCCAGGGGAGCTTGGGAGTCCTGATGAGCTCTGGCTGCTGGCTGAGGCAGGACCCAGGGAGAGGGGTCCCAGCACAGAAGCGGGGCAGGACCTGATGGAGGGGTCTGGTGCAATGCTCAGGAATTCACAGGCTATCCAGGCAGGCTCCCTGGAGGAGGAGACTCAGCACAAACCTTGATCTATGGCTCAGAAGTCAATAGGCAGAGGTGGGAGGTGGGCCTCCTGGTGGATGAAGTGTGATTTAGCAGGGCCTCTGCCTCGGATGGTGGGTTGGGGAGCACAAGTGGAGGCCAGTCCACTGAGGATCTTGACGACCGGGCTGAAAAGTTTTGAGGGGCTTCTAGAAGCCCCTGCCTTCAGGGACACTTTGCCCGCTCCCAGTTCCCCTATTGGGGTGTGCTGTGCCCACTCCGGCTTTTTTCTGTTGTGTGGGAGGCTACCTATGAGTCATTCACACTCCAGTGCGAATTAGCCCATCAAACCCCAGGAGACCCTGACGGTTCTAGTCCCGTAATAGACCTGCTTCGTGGGCCAGCAGGAGGCATCATGAATGCAGCAAATGCCCTGGTTCGGTGGGTGGACGAGCGGACAAGGGGGGGCGGCTCTCAGTGCACCCTCGGTGTTACCGTCCCCCGATGCACCACGAGCACGCCGGGCCCATGGGCCTAGCGTCCCTGTGTCTCCCTCCACGGTGTGCTGGCTGAGGATTTGTGCCCACTTCACAGGGGAGGCAGCTCAGCGCCAAATGGCTGGGACGGAATCTGCCCAAAGTGGGAACAGTTCCCCTTTCTTGGGCTGGGCACTGGCAGGTGGCAGGGGGGCAGGGGTGCCACGGGCTGAGCCTCCTCCCCGGGTCTCTGATGCTCCTTGGCTCCCACCCACCCTGGGCCCCGGGGAGGTGCCTTAGCGGCACCGCCTGAGCCAGCTTGGGGACCAGGCCCGCTGCTGATGGCAGCCAGCTTGTCTTCCCTGGGCTGCTCTCGCCTGGGCCTTGGGCACAGGCAGCAGCCCCACACTGAGTGCTGAGTGTGAGATGAGGTGGGCCTTTGTACTGGGCGCTGGGGCCCGCAGCCTGAACGTGGCCAAAGGGGAGCCCTTGAGGGGCACAGCGGTGAGGTCAGGTCAGGGAGGCTGGACGGGCCCCTGGGGCCTGGGGGTCTCTCAGTGAGGGGGGCCGTGGGAGGTTTGAGCAGAGGACAACATGCCTAGCACGTTTCCCGGCACTGTGGGGAGCACAGGTGGAGGCCAGGGGGCGCAGCAGGTTTGGTGGGGGTCCCGGCAGGGTGGTGAGCGGCAGTCAGGCTCTTGGGCCTTATGCGAGGAGGCCAGGCGGAGCGGCTCGGGGGCCGGCTGTAGGTGTGGGGGGAGCGAGGGAGGAGGCGGCGAGGTTCCCGGGGGCTGTGGAAGTTTGGAGGGGCAGAGGGGCTGGCTGCCCAGTCTGCGCCAGTGCCCCCACTGGTGAGCCGGCAGCAAGGCGAGCGGGCTGGGCCTGGTCCTGCCCTCCCAGAGGAGCAGAGTGTGCGGAGGGAGAAGGACCCCAAAGATGGAGGCTGTGGGTCAGGGACGGCCTCACTGGGGGAGCCCGGGAGCCGGCTGTGGCCATGGTGGCCTCCCAGCAGGTCAGGTGGTGTGATGGGGGAGGCATGGCTCTGTCCCTGGTCTGATGGGGGAGACATGGCCCTTTTATGGGAGCCCTGATCTGAGGGGCCCAGGGGCCCCCAAAACCTCCCCTCAACTCCGGCAGCACAGGGCTCCCGCTCTAACCCCTGGGTCCCCCTGCCCTCCTGGTCCTGGGAGGGGTCGCTGCGCCAGTTTCTTCTCCCGCCCTGGCCCTAGCGAGGAGGGTCTCCTGCCCTGGGCCTAGTGAGGAGGCCCTGGGCCTAGCGAGGGTCTCCCGTCCTCGGGCCTGGGCTCAGGGAGGGGGGGGGTTGGCTCCATGACCCAGATCTTCCAAGTTTCAGAGGCTCAGACAAGAGGCAAAAAAATGGTCTCCCAGTGCTGTTGCTGCGGGCAGGAGGAGGGATGGCCTGCCTGTGCTGCGGAGATGGGGACAGGTGGCCCTGGAGCAGGAAGGATTTCGGTCAGATGTGGGAAGAACTTCCAGATGTTGGGGTATAAGAGGATGCACCCTAGAGGTTTTGCTGAAAGAAGGACTGAGGATTCCCTGGCCTTTCCCAGGTCAGGGGCTGCCTGAGAGGCCAACGAGGGTGCTCGGGTCAGGGACAGCCGTCCACCTGTCTGGCTGCAGGTCAGTCCTTGGCTGATGTCCAGTGCGGCACGGGAGGCGTGGCGAACCACCTGAGCGTCCTGCACGGACTGAGTTCTTTTCCTGGCGGGGGGGGGGGAAGGGGCGCTCAGCAGGGGCTTCTAGAGGTCACCTCTCTCTGCTGTGGGGCTCGGGTTATCCTTGAGGATCCCTTTCAGACGTGTTCTTCACAATCCAGTGGTTCAGAGGGTGTATGCCGGGAGCAGACGTCAGACAGATAAAGACAGTGCTTATCTGCTGGCCCTGCTGCTGTCTTGCTGTGTGGCCTTGGGCAAGAGCACCCCCTCTCTGAGCCTCAGTTGCTACATCTACAGTGGCGCTGAGGGCTGTTGCCAAGCTTCAGGGATAAAACGCACAGGAAGTCATTGTCCCTGTGGTGTGGGAGGGAGCAACGAGAGGGTCCCGGTCCTGTGCTGTGTGGCAGGAACCCGAGTGTGCCACAGCGGCCCGCGGAGCCGGGGAGACGCCGGCATCAGGGACAGGTGGGGCCGAGGGCGCCCGCACGGCAGTCCTGCGGGGTCACGACGAGCCCCCGCCCCCTCGGTGCAGGCCCAGGCACCTTCCAGAGTGACCGCCAGCGGCCGCGTCCTGGACGGCCAGCCCGACCCGCCGGTTCTCTGGACCAGGGGTGGAGGCCTTGTGCCCTTTGTGGCCTGAGGCTGCAGGGCAGGCAAAGTGGGCAGCAGCCCCCCGCCCATCCCCTCCTCCTCCTCAGGAGCCCTGCGGGGCCAGCCAGCAGCCTGGGCTGGCGTTCTCCCAGGGGGTGGCCTGCAGGTCTCAGCCTGGCGCCCTGCAGACCGGCCAGCGCTGCCTGGAAACCTGCCAGGCTGCCGGCCCCGGCCAGCTCGGCTCCCCTCAGCCCCGGCCTCAGGGTGCTGGCCCCGCCTGTCCTCCCAGGCAGGAGAGCTGGGCTCCGCATGCCCCCACCCCCCACTTCGCGCAGAGGAGGGGAGCAGAGGCAGAGTCCGCGCCTGAACGGGGAGAGGCCCAGCTGTGATTTGAACCCAGGACTGGCTGGCCACGGACTCCTGCTCTTAAGAGCGGCTCCAGGGCTGATGTCCTGGACGAGCAGCCAGCTTGAGAGAGGGCTGCCCGGCTGCAGACAGGAGTGGCCTGTAGGACTCTTTCTCGGAGCGGGCGGAGTTGGGCATCTCCTGGCCTGTGCCGTGTTGGCTGGCTCAGCGTCTGGTCGGCGGCAGCAGCATACGCGCCTCCGGGCATGAGGACAGGGTTCTCCTGGTGGGGGGGGGGACCCAGGGCAGTGGCAGGGGCGGGGGTCGGCCCGGGCTAAGCCCTCCGGGCCCCTGTCCTGCATGCTGCTGGGGGACGGAGGGAGAGAGTTGGGGTGTGCCAGGGCACCCCAGCGAGGCCCTGATAAACCGCTGGCCCACGGTGTGGGGAGGACCAGGCTTGACCTGGGGTACCCCTGGGAGCTCCGGGACTCTCCAGGACCCCCGCACTCCCTTTGCATTCTTGCCACTGTCCTGATCCTGGTTCTGGTTTGTGGTTAGTGCGGAGGAAGGAGGAGGAGGAGGGGTCTCTGGTGGAGCCTTACCAGGCCTTGACTCTGCTGCACCCCGTGCTCCTCTGGGACTCATGGCTACTCCTGCATTTATTTTATGGAAAGCCCCTGACATGGAAGAGCTTTGAGCTCCCCAATGCTGGGCTCTTTGAGCTCAGGCCACAGTGCCTGTGAGAGGAATGTGCTCTCTTCTCTCTGAACTCTAGAGATAGAGCAGGCTGGCTGGAGCATGAGGGTGGGGGCACTTCCCCGGGGGCCACAGAGCCCCGATGCGCCCTGATGCACCCCGCAGGGCCTATGGCTGGCTTCCGGGCCTTGAAACTCTGCCTTGCTGCCACTGTGAACTCGGCTAGCCCCCTCAGGCCCCAGTTTTTCTCCTCCGCATAAAGGGGGCAGGTCCTTCCCTGAGGAAAGAGAATCAAAAGAGCGAGGCCCACATCCCGGCTTCTGGCCCAGCCCAGAATATATCCCTGCTCCCCGGGGGCCTGAAGCTCAGACCAGGGATTGTGTAACATCTCCAATGCAACAGAACCAGTCTGGGGCTCTCAGATCCCTGCAGCTGGAGATCCTAAACATTCCTGGAGATGCTCCCACATATGTGCAAGCACTGTGCTGGGTGCCTGAGGGGTGTGTGCCCATTTCATCCTCCCCATTTTAGAGCTCAGGAAACTAGCGGTGAGGATAGGGAACTCCCCGAGGTGACACGGTGAGGAGGCGGCCGAGGCTGGTCGTTTGCAAACCCAGGTGTTGCGCAGAGGCGGCACCCCCAGGGTCTGTGTGTGTGTGTGGGGGGGGGAGTGTGTGTGCGTGCACACGCACCTGCCGGGTCAGGGCTCCGGTGGGGAGAGCACCGGGCAGGGAGCAGCTCAGCCCCCAGCCTGCCAGGCATGCAGAAGTGCTGGGGTGAAGCAGTCCAGCTGCAGGCCCCGGAAGGCACTCTGCGGCTCCCTTGTGCTTGGACTGAGAGGCCATGAAGCTGCAGCCTGATTCTAGGGCAGGTCCTGGGAAGACCCTTGCTGCAGAGACCTGGAATTTTCCCTTCAAGTCCTGAGAGGAGGCATGGGGTCTGAGTTATCTGCGGGAGAGGGCAGGCCTTTTGTGGCCCTGGATTCACAAGACCACTCTGGGCTGTGGATCCCGAACTGCAGGGTTACCATCCGGTCTCTTCAGACCTCTCAGAGCCCCCTCCCCTCGCCCCTAGCCCACCCCCCACCCGGAGCGGCCCTCCATGGGCACCCTCTGCAGGCCCAGGCCCCAGCAGGCTGAGACAAGGCAGGCCCGGCCCAGGGCCAGGTGTGCGTGGCTGGACGCTGCTAAGTTCCTGGACTGGCGGGCTGGCCTTGCAGGGTGGGGGACTAGGATCCACGGCGACCGGTTTGCGGAGTGGAGTCCTCCAGTCCCGGTGTTGAAATGGATAAGGCGCAATCATGGGCCTCTAGACAGCGGGGAAGGCTGTTCTGTCCCCGGCCTGGGGCGGCGGACGCCAGGGGCGACCAGCCCGCGGAGGTGGAAGCGGGGGCGGGGGCGGTCCCAAGGTCACCCGCGCG